AATCCACCTTCAAGATAAGAAAATTGAGAGGTTGAAGACCTTCTCCAAGCGAGGACAGGAAAGCAAGCAGCCTTGCTTCGTTGTCAGGAGCTTGAGTGCTGCGCTATTCTACCCTTTGATCACACCTTGTTAATCATGTGTTTGAAGTTGGCAAACATAAGCACACACAACAGCACTGCTGTGCTCACCAGCCTGAGACTGAATGTACACTCTTAGGTCAGTGCCACCATGAACCGACTGTCATCACAGTAATGAACTAAACGGGGCCTCTGAGCAATGAGAGGAAACAGGGGGCTCTTTTTGGATCTCACCTGATCCCTCCTAATTCCTATCAACCAAAGCAGCCCCTCCAACTAAAATTTTCTCTCCACATTGTAGCCATCCAACCTCAATCACTGTATTCTGCTATTGAATCAACAGTCCTAATATGTCCAACAGGAAACTAAGACATTATAAGCACCTGACTGATTTCGCTTCTAGCTTGTCTTTCTTGCAAGAGAACTCGTTGCTTCACTTCAGCCTGTTTATATCATTCCCCTGCGGTGAACTGTCAATGGCTTCCTCTGCGTGGGTCAGTGGTTCTCACACTTAGACAGGAATTTATGGTGGTGATTGCACAACTCTGTGACTATTCTAAAAATCACTAAATTGTACCCGTTAAACAGGTTAATTGTATGGTATGTAAATTATCCTATATAATAAAAACCTAATATGCTAAGTGTCTGGTTGTCCAGTCAGTCAGTCAACCAATCAAAGTGTAATATGCTAATGATATGCTAAGGCCACTCAACTGCTGGCTATGACATTCACTGACCACCAGGGGGAAGAGGCTCCAACTGGTAGGTTAGCTTGCTGCTGGGGTCCCGCCAATCGGGACTGAGAGAGACGGGCTGGACATGCCCTGGAGCCCTCCCGGGGTCCATCCCGGGCTGGCCAACCTCCCTCATCCCTCTCCGGCCCTGATCATGCACCAATGGGGCCCCTCAGCCTGGCCTGCGCTGTCTTGCAATCTGGGCTGAGGAACCTCCCTCCCTTCCCCTCCAGTGCACAAATTTCATGCACCGGGCCTCTAGTATCTCAATAAAGTTGCTATTTAGGAAAATTTATAGAGGAATCAAAGCATCTGGAAGTCATGGCATGCCATGTGTAAGATCCTGAAATGTTGAACCAAACACAATTTCACTAGCAGAAAATAAGAATATGGTCAATAGTGTATATATTTACAAGATTAAAATTCACTACTTTACAACTATGAAAAAAAAAGCGAGTGGTTGAGCTAAGATTATCAGCAGTTTCTAATGTTTGCTTTTAATATTAAATTTCCATTTGTTACATTACTTTGTTGCCTACTAGGAAGTAAGCATTAACACAGTGGTTTTCAGCCTTCTGGCCCTTTAAATACAGTTCCTCATGTTGTGACCCAACCATAAAATTATTTTCGTTGCTACTTCATAACTGTAATGTTGCTACTGTTATGAATCGTCATGTAAATATCTGATATGCAGGATGGTCTTAGGCGACCCCTGTGAAAGGGTCATTCGACCACCAAAGGGGTCACAACCCACAGGGTGAGAACCGCTGCATTAACATAAAGAGGAAAAATTTGAAAGGGAAACTTAAAAAAAAAAATACAGTATGTTTTTATTGACTATAGAGAGAGAGAAAGGGAGAGAGAGAATAAAAAACATCTGTGCTGGGGATTGAGCCCACAACCTCAGCATATGCCCTGACCAGGAATAGAACCTGTGACTTCCCAGTGCACGAGAGGACTCATTCAACCAACTGAGCCACACTGGCCAGGGCTGAAAGGGAAACTCTAAACTTGAGCACATCCCTAGGTAAATACTTTGATGTTTTTGTAGGGTTTTTTTGTCTTTAAATTGAGACTTTAGGAAAATATCTATATTTGTAATAACACTAAGGTTTTCTGGAGGAGCTCTGACAATTCCAGCATCCTTGAAAATGCCATATCAAAATTGACATACCATAAAATAAGTCTTTGTTTCAACCTGGCCTTCAATTACTTGTCCATCTTCATTTCTTTCCACATCAGCTCATGTGCCCCACAGCAGTGGCCACGCATCCCTCACAACCACAAGGTGTGGCTTTGCTTCTGCTCCTTCCTTCCCTGGAATATTCTTTCCTTCTTTCTCCACTTGGCCCTTCAAAGCCCATCTAGTGTCTATTTTACCTTCTCGACCTCCCTGTCCAGGAAAGTGCCGTGAGAACAGGAAACATGTATATCTTACTAAATGTTGTATTTTCAGCAAAAACATAGAGCCTGACAGAGAAAGTGCTCCACAAATGCTTCTTTGTATTCTCATAGCCTCGATGCACATGTCTATCCGCTTACCTCACTGTTCTGGAATTATTTTTCAGTGACCCCACCCTCACACGCTCCTTGTCTTTATCACGCAACAGATGCTCCATAAATACCTAGTACATTTAGATGAATTGAAAGTACATTCTTTAATCTCCAGGTATTCAAAGTCTTAAGGAAAAACAAAACTTTCAAACAATTTGCTAAAATACTACATGGCAAAAACTGTAAGTGGGATGTGCGCACAGTACTGTGAGAATTCTGATAAAGGAGCTTTACCTCTTCTGGCTTGTCGGTCTTCACCCTGGGTTCTTCATAGAGGCTGTGAGATTTGAACTGTCCCTGGGAAACTGACAGTAAGTCCACCAGGAGTACAACAAAAGGGGGTTCTAAGCTGAAGGAATTCAGCACCCAGAGAGTGAGAGGGTAGGGTGGTTAGTGCCCCCGGTGGGCTGGTGTGGCTTCAGTGGGGGGTTCATGGCAGGCATTGGTTGGCAGGAGGCTGGGAAAATGTGCTTGGCCTGGCAGCTCTTCTAGCCTGAACTTCACAACATGCGCAAGAGGGTGATTTGATCGGATCTGTGTTTTAACTCTGTGCTCATCACCCTCCTCTGCCTGCACCCTCCCAACACACATTGACCATGTAAGAGAGTCGACCACAGTTATAAGTGTGACATGTGGACAAAGGCCAGAGCGCTCCCAATCTTCATGAGAACCAAGTTGAAACCCAAGACGGTGTTCTAACCATTCAGCATTCAGCCAACACCAGTGCTATGCAAATCACACACTGAAGCAGAAGTTAAGAATGTGGTAGAACCAACAAAGCTGGTTTCTATGGAAAGCCAGCATCATGCATTAAAAGATTCCTGGCTGCAGTGAAGCCTCTCTGACTTCCCTAGCCTAAAGGAATCTCACCTCTGAAATACGCTGGAGCACTTAATTCTGTACTTAGGACACTTAGAAGTTGTTTTTTCTTGCATTATGATTGTTTGGTGTTCATTCCTGGTATCATATTTTTATCTCTTTGCCTCATTTTAAAAGCTGATATCTCATATAATGCAACTTTAGAAAACACCTTGGGAGCAAGATAGGGTATAAATCACTCAACAACAAATCTTGTTAGATTTTAATTTCAAGAAGGAAGAGGTCATGTCCCACTCGCCTATATAAATCCCACGGCATGAACAAAACATAATTGTTGAATAAATTGTAGTGGAAAAAAATATGGTAAAGTAAAAACATTCTTTGGTTTTTAAAAGAAGTTGATATTTTTGTAATTTTTTTTCCTTGAAAAGCACCTATTTACTAAAGTATTTGCATTAGATGTTTATCTTTTTTTTTTTTTTTTTAATTTTCATCATTCCTAACCATGGCTAGGATTGTCCCTAGATTTTCTTTATTTTTAAATCCTCAAGCAAGGATATGTTTGTATTGATTTTAGAGAGAGAGGAAGGGAGACAGAGAAACATCGATGTGAGAAACATCAATCAGTTGCCTCCGGAATGCACCAATCAGTTGCCTCCGGACAGGGGAACGAACTTGCAACCTTTTGGTGTATGGAATGATGCTCCAACCAATGAGCTACCCGGCCAGGGCTGTCCTCATTTTTTTTTTTTAAATTTGATTTGCCCAAGTGTCATCCCTTGTATAGGTCTCTTTGGAAAAAACAACCCTTAGATTTCTTTATTATACCTATATGGTTTATAATAGAACAGCGATATGTTTATTTCGGCAAAATGATAAAGTAAAACTACAAACAAAAAATACTTGACATTCACTGAGACACAATTTTGTAAAGAAGAAAGTTAACAGTAATCAGCACAAATATAATAAATTATAAAGATTTGTTGATATTTCAATTTTAATGGGGGGGAGATAACCAGAAGAAATACAAAAATACTTTTAAAATACAGCATCATTGCCACAGCACATGAAAACATTTCCATAAAAAATTAACAATTTCCACTTAGACATTTCATTTTTCATCCCTCTTTGAATTTATATTCCGAAATCTTGATGTTCTCATTTCATGGATCCACAAAGATCAGTCCTGTCACAAGTGATTAAAAGGAGCGCTTCCTGTTAGAAACAGCACTTCAGGCTAATATTTAATCTTAATTGGCAACAAGTTCAGTGCAAATAAAATTATATTTAGCAGCTTTGAAAATTCCCGGTGGGAAGGTGTTTACCTCTTAACCCTCACTGCTTCCCCAAAGAGAAATCCTTTTTCTCCTTTCATGAGTGCGAACACTGGCCATTCAAACCTATCGAAAACTACGAATGCTAATTCTGCTGCCTGTAACATAGGGAGTTTCCATGAAAGCTGGTTGCAGTCACTTGGCAAATGAGCCAACAGTGTTTACATTTGGAAAGTTTCCCTTAGGTCGATTTAAACGCACAAACAAACAAAAAAACACGGCCTGAATATCAGTCATAGCTGGATCTTACCCAACAACTTCTCTGATCGTGGAGAAGAAACCCAGAAGAGGCACTAATCATTTCATGCATTAGCTTCCAAAGGAAAACCAGGACAGAGCTGAGGAATATCTTAAATCAAATTCTACTCTCTGGTAATAAGTTTATTTCACTGATTTGAATGGGAAAAGGAGGAGGGAGGAAAGCAGTTATAGAGGGAGAAAGGGAGGGAGGGAGGGAGGGAGGGAGGGAGGGAGGGAGGGAGGGAGGGAGGAAGGGAGGGAGGGGAAAAGAATGAAAAAAGATTTTTAAAAAGAATAAAAAAAAAAAGGAAAAGAGGGGCCATCTGATTTCAAATCTGGAGCTTTCCACTCGCAGCCAAATTATTCTCCAAATGAAGAGAAGCCAGAGAACTACCAGCCAGAGCGGATTCTGTTTGAGCTTTGTCAATTCCTGGAAGTGCCTCCCTTCTTGTTAGACAGCTGTCCCCCCTAGCCAAGGCCTGGTACTGCTGCTACAGAGAACAATGTGCTTACTGTGCTCAGAGGTGACAGGGAAGAGGAAGGACACCTGCTGCTTTTAAGCACGTGGCTCTGCCCCTTGTAGAGGTCTCACTGGCCCAAGGACTTGAGCTGTCAGAAGCTTGAATAACCCCTGAGGTCCATGATGTGCTGACAAATCCAGGCAGGTAAACACTAGGGAGGCCATCTCACTCGACCTCTCTCTTTACCACTCCTTGGCAGTTTTTCTGTTCCCCCTGAATTCTCTCACTGGGTAGCTCAAGGATGGAGGTGCAGTGGCTGCATGTTGGAGACAGGGGTCCGCCTTAGTCACTGTACTCTTCTCTTTCCTTGGGAGTGGGGAATTTCTCATACTGGTTGGCCGATTTCCACTTGTGGTGCTGACTTTTGAGTAGTGCAGCAAGGGAAGTCTTTCGGGTGATATGTCTAGATATCTCCCGGCTCTTGGCCTTCCTGGTGGGGGAAGAGCTTCGGACTAAGGGATAGACAGGAAAAATAGGCTTGCCCCGAGGGCCTCCCAGGAGCTGCCATATTTCCCCAGAGGTATTACGGGTCAGATACTGCCACGGCTTCTTCCCACTGCTGTCCCGGATATTCACCCGGGAAGCCAGCCTTTCCACGAGCAATTTCATGACCCCCTGGTGGCCATGAATGGCTGCAAGGTGCAGAGGGGTATACCCACCACTGGACTTCGCATTCACATCAAGAGCAACCCTTGCCTTCTGGGCACTCCCCACGAAGTCCTGCAGGGCCCTGAGGTCGCCATGCTTGGCTATCCAGTGCAAAGCCGTGTACCCAGTCAAGAAGTCCTTGTGCAAAGCCAGCTGAGGATCCTCCCAAAACAAAGTCAACACGCGAATCCAAGAGCCAGTGGCAAGCTTCACCATCCATTCATGCTCCCTGGCATCCAGGGGCACAAGAGACGGCTTGTGCTCCGGTCTGTGCGGGACCAAGGCTGCAGGCGCCTGCCTACCTGGGGCGCACACACTGTGTAGACGACTCCTGGCAGCAACAGCAGCCTTCACATCAGCAGGGTTGGGTGTCAACGCAGCATCCACCCTGGGGCTGGACGCGGCTCCTGCCTTGGAGGGTTTCCTGGACCGTGGTGGGCGCCGGCTCCTTTTCAGCAAGTCCTCCTCAGGACATTCCTCATCCGAGGAGGACAATGCGGCTCTCCCTGCCCAAGAGCTCATCCTGAGGGATCTCCTTAACCTGGGAGCTGGCGAGGGCAAGGGCTCCTGGGGCTGGCCGGCAAGACCATTCGCCCCAGGTGGAACCTGCTGAGGGGCGTGCCCATCCCCTCTGTTTCTGAGGCATTGAGGGCTCCTGCTGCAGTCGCCCTCCTTCGGAGAAAGGCCGCCAGCTGAATTCCTGAGCTTTCTCCAATCTGGGGTTCCTAGGGCGATGCGCAGCCCCTCTTCAGAACCCCCAGGGGACTCTTTGGGCCCACTGCTGCTCTCCTCGCTGCTGTGACTGTTCTGGTCCACAAAGTCATCCAGTTCTTGGAGGGACAGCTGAGAACGAATGCTGCGAAAGACTGCCAAGGGGGGGTTCCCGGGCCAGGCCTCCGGAACAGCAGGGGAGAGAGAATGAGGGGAAACAGGAGGGTCTAAAGGCGCTGAATTAGGTTCTGGGACCCCGAAGCCCAGCTCCAAGGGGAAGTTCTCTGGCAGCACTGACCAGACTCTGGTGGGGCCCTGGTCCCGGGCCTCGGGCGCGTGGGGATGTCTGGCCACCCATTCCCGAGTGCGCTGCTGCTGCTGCTGCTGCTGCAGCTGCTGCCTGGAATGATGGAGGTCGCCCGGGGTCATCAGCTCCGGCCGGTCTCCGGGAGGAGGACAGCTGGAAAGGACGGCAGGCGGGGAAGCCCCGCTCCCAGTAGCCTCGACGGTTGGAGGAGGCGAGAGGGGCGCTGCAGGTACCGGCGCAGGCTCAGCGGGAGCGCCTCCCTGCTCCTGGCCGGGAGCCCTGCGGTCATCTGGGGCAGCTGGAGCCCGCGCCGGCTCCTCCCGAGCGGTGGCGGGGTCGGGGAGTGCACCGGCCAGCGGCTCGCCCGGGAGTCCCCCCAGGCCGTTCTGGAGACATTCCCAGCAGCAGCGGCCCTGGGTCTCCGCCGCCGCGCATTTCGCTCCGACCTGGGCAGCTGCCGCCGCCGCCGCGGACACCGGCGCCCTGGGGTCGGAGCCGCGTCTTCGGCCGCCGCCTCCCCGGGCCGCCTCCCGGGCGCCGCTGGCGGAGAGTCCATTGCAACCTGGATCCGCTGCGGGCGCTGCGGCACCTGCTGGCTCCTCCTCCTGCTCCTTCCCCCGCCGCCGCCGCCTAGGCTGGCGCGGCGCCTCCCCTGGGCGCGCGGCGGGCGGGGAGCAGGGCGCAGCTCCCCCTGCAGGGGCGGCGGCCGCGGGCGGGTCTCGGGGTCGCTGCAGCCCCTCCTCGCCCAAAAGGTCCCTGTACCTCTTCTTGAGAACCACGTACTTGGTGCCGTCGGGGTCCTGGCGCACTGCGGCGACCGAATTAACGAAGCCCTTGAAGAGCTCGCGGCGGCGCTGGTGCTGGCCGGGGGACGCGCCCGGGTCGCGGAGGAAGCTCTTGAAGTGGCTCAGCAAGGCGGCGTTGGTCACTCGGCCCCCGGCCTGGCACAGGAAGTCCAGCAGTGCCTCCTGGCTCAACTCCCGGGCCATCGCTGCCTGGTCGTCCCCGGGTCCCCGAGTGTCCGTCGCTCTCCCGCCCCGAGCTCTCCCCCGCCCGCCGAAACCTCGGCCTGTCCAGTGTCACCTGCACTCGGGGCGGCGCCACCGCCTCCATCAGCCGCAGACGCCGGCGCGGCTGGCAGCCCCGAGCGCGCCAAAGGGCCGCGGATCTCGGGGGGAGAAGCCCCCCGGCTGAGTCCCCGCACGCAGCCCGGGTGGGAGAGGGCGGCTGGCTGCAGGGCCGGCCCTGCGCGACGCGAGCCCCTCGCCGGGAGTCCAGGCAGCTAGAGTTCCCGGGAGAGGCCGGAATCGGTTTCACCTGCGCCCTGGCGACGCCTCCTGCCTGGCTCTGGGGGAAGGGCCGGCCCGCCTCCTCCAGTCCCTCCGCCCCCTGAGTTCTCCCCACCTGGGCCACCCGTCCCAGATGAGTCAGGCCGGTCCGAGCCCGGGAGAGCGCCCGTGGGTGAGGGCGGGAGCGAGCGGGCGCTGGCCACGAACAGCTCCAGGCCCAGGAAATGCAAGGCAGGTAGGTCAGCGACCGGCCTCTCCTCTGGGTCTCAGCCACGTAGGAAACGAAAGCCACGGGAGCTCGGTCCCTGCCCTCCCCTGGAGCTGCCTAAGTAATGGCTGAAGTCGAGGGGTGGGGGAAAGGTGCATATTAACCGACATTCTGCGGTCTTCCTGAAAGGTGCCTTTACCCATGCTGTGGGGTAGTGATTTCAGGTTCCCTGCGTCTGGGGAAACTCACTCTGCATCCCAAACAAGCCCTCTGGGTCTGGAGATGCAGCCTGGGTACCCGCACCCACGTCTGTAACATCACTCTGCAGGTCACAGGGTGACTTCGGCCTTTCCTTTTCCTTTGGGATGGCCTCAGGTTAAGGTGCAGGGAAAATCAGTCTGACAGTCGATTTTCCCACCAGCTAAAATGATCAGGAATTGTGCCTTGTTGAGGTATGTGATGCCAGGTGTTCGTTTTTATTTACCCTCAACTTTGTGAACCAAACGGACTTTTGTACATGTCTTTTGTGTTGACTTAAGTGAGTGAAGTTGTCTTTCTCCTCTGAATGTAAGTCCCTCCCCCCCACACACACACACAGATCCAACTGTTAAGCATTACAGAGTAGCCTGATTTGACCCCACTACCCGAACATTAGAATGTCCCCAGATTCTAATTCTCTGTCCAGAGGCCGTGAACGCCCTAATTGGAGTCCATTTGTAGCTAGAGGTGCCTTTTTCACCGGCCTCTTCAAGACAGTAGAATTCAACACTTCTCCTAGCAGCTGCTTTTCCCCTTTGTTTTATCTGTGCATATGTTGGTCCTGCTCTTTCTTTTATTGAGGTCCTTGAGTAGAGGTCCTGTTTCTTCATCAGTCCTGTTTACATTCCCAAGATACTGTCATTGTCTTATCTACTCACCTATCTGGCTCCATGTCCGCCCCTCCCCCTTCTTTTCTTAGCTGTCTTTGCATTTCTTTCCATCATAATAGCCCTAAATGTCACGGCAAGACTATTTCTTAAAATCCTCTGTCCACTATATGCTTTTCCAATGATAAAGTCTCTCTTTTCCCCTGCCCTGCCATTTGCCACTCTTCTTTCCTATTCTAACCCTCATCTTTCACTTTCCTTCTTCTCTCTACCATTTCTGACTGTGTCGTGAGTACATGTCCTTTCTGCCAAGGGAGGGTCTTGAAAGTGTATGCTGGCCCCACAATTGTCAACCTGCTTTAGCGTAACTCAGTCTTCTTGACGGCCATGTAGGCCACATTAGCTGAGGTTTATTTTAAGTCCCCAACAATAACTGGTATTTTTCTGTGAATGAATTGGAACCTTTGGCTTTGTTATCTATGTCAGAAAGGAGAAATGGGAAACATTTTTGTCTATTTGGGGCATTTTCTAGATTTAAACCCAATACTGGGTTGAGAGGGGGATGATGGTTTCCACTGAGGTGGAACATTAGCTTCAAGCTTTTCGGGAGGGTTATTAAAATAAAGGTTTTGTATTAAACTTCAGCTTCTTTTTGTGTTTATTTCCTGGTGTTGCATCTTAGTGGGACGGAGAGGTGTGCCCACACCTAGGGCAGGAAGGAGTTCAGACAGGAAATTCAGGTAGGTGATTAAGAGTGGCAAGTGGGGGGGAGAAAAACTCTTTGATACTTTTCAAAACTTTTGTTAAAAATAGGGGTTTGTGCCCTGGCCGGTTCGGCTCAGTGGATAGAGCATCGGCCCATGGACTGAAGGGTCCCAGATTTGATTCCAGTCAAGGGCACATACCTCAGTTACAGACTTTATTCTGGTCAGGGTGCGTGCTGGAGGCAACTAATCGATGTGTCTCTCTCACATCGATGTTTCTCTCTGTGTGTCCTTTCCTCTCCCTTCCACTGTCTCTAAAAATCAATGGAAAAATATCCTCGAGTGAGGATTTTTTTTAAAAAAATAGGGTTTTGTAGGCAATCGCTGCAAGAACCTCCGAGAGAAAGCTGCCCTCGAGTTCCTAACGTTTCTCCCGTATGAGTCTGGGTCCCCAGAGACTCGCCCGGAACTGGAGCTCAGAGCTTGAGATTCCCTCCCGATTGAAAAAGACAACCATGTCCTCAGCCACCAGCCCTCTCCGCATGCGCCTCTGTACCTTTGTATTTTACTCCCGCACCGCACCTCCTCTGAGTCTCGGAGTTTATATTTATGCTGAACTTTGATCTGTATTGGTTCAACTTGGTACATTAAGATATAAAGCTATTATAGCCATTGTCTGAAGAGCCATCTGCTATGGAATCCTCCTATATAATAAAAGAGAAACGTGCAAATTAACCATCCCTCCACTGCGCTCAAGCCACGCCCACAAGCCAATCAGGAGCAAGTATGCAAATTAACCCAACTAAGGTGGTGGAGGCCATGGAGCTGGAGCAAGCAGGAGGCTCGGGTTGCCCCCGGCAATAGAGGAAGCCAAGCTTCCCACCTGCCCTGGCTGGCCCTGGGCTCTGCTCAAGGCTACAAAGTTTCAATTTATAGAAGATAAATAAATCCCAGATACCTGCTTCCAGCCAGCCGTGGCCTCCGCTCAAGGAGGGGCCTTCCAGCAGGACCTGGGCTCGGCTCAAGGCTACAAAGATTCAATTATAGAAGATAAATAAATCCCAGAAAAAAGAAAAGAAAAGAAAAAAAGGAGAGGCTGGGAGCTTGGGTCTCTGGGGGGCGTGGCCAGTCTGAAAACGGCCATCAGTCCCTCACCCAGGCTGGCCAGGCACCCCAGTGGGACCGACCCCTCCCCCCCCGAAGGGGCTGTGGGCAGCCTGCAAACAGCCATCAGCCCCTTACTCAGTCTGGCCACACTCCCATGGGGTGAGGGTCCCCACTGAGGGGTTTGACCAGCTTGCAAACAGCCATCAGCCCCTCATCCAGGCTGGCCAGGCACCCCAGCGGGACCCCCTCCCTGATCCGGGACACCCTTCAGGGCAAACCAGCTGGCCCCCACCCGTGCACCAGGCCTCTATCCTATATAATAAAAGGGTAATATGCAAATTGACCCTCACAGCAGAGCGACTGGGAATGATTGGTCACTATGACACACACTGACCACCAGGGGGCAGACGCTCAATGCAGGAGCTGCCCCCTGGTGGTCAGTGTGCTCCCACAGGGGGAGCTTTGCTCAGCCACAAGCCAGGCTGCCAGCTGCCAGCACAGTGGTGGTGGTGGGGGCCTCTCCTGCCTCCTCAGCAGTGCTAAGGATGTCAGACTGCAGCTTAGGCCTGCTCCCCGCTGGCAACTGGACATCCCCTGAGGGCTCCCGGGCTGCCAGAGGGATGTCTGACTGCCAGCTTAGGTCTGATCCCTTGGGGAGCGGGCCTAAGCCAGCAGGTGGACATCCCCCGAGGGGTTCCAGACTGTGAGAGGGCACAGGCCAGGCTGAGGGACCCCCCTCCGAGTGCACAAATTTTTGTGCACCAGGCCTCTAGTTATTCTATATTGAGAACACTCTTAATATTGAGCCTGTAATAAATTTTCATAATAATCTCCTCTGAGAAGGAACCCATGCTGTTTTACCATTGTTGACCAATTTTAGGAAAATATATGATACAATGTCTCATACATAATGTTGTAAATAATTATGTTAAATAATAGTGGTGAAAACAGACATCCGTGTGTTGTGCCTATTCTTAGGGGAAATGGTTTTGGTTTTTGCCTATTGAGTATGATGTTGGCTGTGGGTTTGTCATGTATGGCCTTTATTGTGTTGAGGTATGACACCTCTGTTTCCACTTTGCTGAGAGTTTTTATCAAAAATGGGTGTCGGTCCCAGGTTCGATTCCGGTCTTGGTTGCGGGCACATCCCCAGTAGGAGATGTGCAGGAGGCAGCTGATCGATGTTTCTAACTCTCTATCTCTTTCCCTTCCTCTCTGTAAAAAATCAATAAAATATATTTTTAAAAAAATGGGTGTCAAGTGCTTTTTCTGCATGTATTGATGTGATCGTGTGATTTTTGTCTTTCAATTTGTTTGTGTGGTGTATCATGTTTGTTGATTTGCGAATGTTGTGCCAGACTTGCATCCCTGGAATGGATTCTGCTTGGTCATGGTGTAAGATCTTTTTTTTTAAAAAAAAGGGGGGGGGTTGTGGCAAAAGGACTTGAAGCACTTATAAGGGCTGGGGAGAAAGGAAAGGGTCATCAAGAGCATGGTTGTTGATGGGATATTATCTTTAGTTTAGGGTGAAACTTGTAGATCTGGAGGAGCAGAAGGGAGAAGGGGGGATGCAGTTGCTTTTGATTTCTGGTGCCCAGATGGTTTAGCATTCAGACCTTCTCTACTCCTCGTTCTCGCTCTTGGCTAAGGGGATGGTTAATTAGAATGCTTTCCACCTTTTCTCGGGGAGCATCTTTATGCTCCCCTTCAAGTACTGTTCACTGTTACCAACAATATTTATGGAGTCACAGGGTGAGTCCATGTCGCCCTGGCACTACTGGAAATGGGCAGGAAGAAGAAAACATGCTCAAGGACTCACTATTTGTTGGGAGCAACTAACAAGAGAAATGGCCCAAACCTGTGTGTTAAGCGACTTGGCAAAGATATGCTCCAGAAGCTGGAAAAGCTGAGGGGTGGTGCATAAAGGAAGAACCCTGGCTCGGCCTGGGGAGCCAGAACAATTTTCCAATAAGAAGCAACTCTGAGTAGAAGAGGTGAGGAAGAGGCAGAGGGAACAGTGGTGCAAAAGCACAGAGATCTGGCTCAGCAAGGTGTATTTGGGGAACTGACTGCAAATACTAGTAGATCCACTTGGCTTTAAGGAAGAGGATGTGTGCGGATGTGCTGGGAAGGAGACTACAAAAGTAGGAGGGAGTCAGAAGACGAAGAGGGGA